AAACGTTTCTTTCAAAAATTAAAGAAGAATTTCTCTTGAACCATTTAGTTAATATATTGAAAAATATGAAACTCAATTATTTGATAGGAACTAAATTATAGAAATTTCTTTAAAGAAATGTTTCCTTTTATTAAATGTTTACTTAGAATTTTTCTTTTTTAAAATGGAGAGAATTTGTCCTGTCTTTAATTGCATTGAACACTAATGGAAATTGAACTATTTCAAACAATTATTTGCATTGAATTTCAGTCACTAATATAATTTTGTTTTTAATTATAATTGTCACGATAAATTAATTTCAAAAAAAAATATTCATATTTTAATTTCGAAAGTTAATTAGTTAGTTAATTTTAAACATATCTTTCTATTAAAATGGAGAGCGTTTTTATTGCCTTCTATTTTATAAGCTTTAAAATTTAATTTTTTGGGTCATCAATCCATGAATACATTACATTTTATTGTCTTCTATCTATCTATGTGTATAAATATATATAAATGAATACTTGAATGTTGATATCGCACAAAATTAGAGTTTTAAAGTGCTGATTTGATTTTTTATTTACAGTTTTAATCTAGAGTTTTTAATTTAGAATAGTTAATATCTATAATTTTTATACTTTTAATTTCTACTCCTTTGTTTTGTTTCTTCTTCTCCTTCTAAATGAATTCGTTATAGTAGTACTAATGGCAAGAAGACTTGATAAACTAAAAAGGCAACAAATTTAAGTTTTTAAACCTACAACTAAGGGATTGCACAGTTTCTCACCTCATGAATATAAAGGTTTGGTTTTTTTACAGTCATTTATTGATTGACATTCAATGAGTAGTTGCATTAATACTTATATGGTTATGGAAGTTTAAGGAGCTTAAGAGGTATTCATTATTTGGTGTAATCTTTGATAAATTCTAATGATATTAATTGATAAATAGTTGATTCAGTTGAGATTATAGGATTCTTAAGTGAGTGTTGGAGACTACATGAAATTTTTCGGGACTTCAAAACATAAAGAGCAATAAAAAAATTTTAAGCATTTAAGTCATGCACACTAAGTGTTTGATTAAATGCCTAAATGAATATTAAGGTGCTTGCTTATTCATGTAGTAGGTAACAAGGTCCTAGAAGGAACTGAAGGAGGAGGCTCTTCCAGGCCTTGATACAACTGCACTATATACTGTGAGTAAAAGCATCTAATATTTAATTGTATATAATGAATGAATGCTTTTAACATTTGTTATGGCACCTGCCATATTTGATGTTGCTATGATAAGAACAAGATTCTTATCCTGGAAAAAGGTAAGGTAAGCCAAAAGGTATACATTATTTTGAGGCCGATGAGACTAATCTATGTTTACAAATCTGTCAAACTCTGCATAAGAGATAAAAAGGGAAGTTATGATTGTCATTACCAACTCATGAATCTGATATGCTATCTGGAGTTGCGTGCTCACAAATCTTTTATCTCGAGTTACAAGCTCAAAATTTGTTATATGGAGCTGCGAGTTCAAAATATCTGATCTAAAAGCCAGGTAGCTAAATTTGATATCTGAAATCTGTTATCTGATACCCAAGGTGAGTTTGTTTGATAAGTCATAACATAAATAATCTGACGATCATTTGCATCATACTTCTAAACTAAGTTTCAGTAGCATTACATCTATGATGATGGTACTCTTTTTTCTGTTAGTGATAATGATGTAATATCTGTACTCTTTCATTGTGAATGGAATGATGAATGTTTACTATTATCTAGCAATGAATAATATCGGGCATTAATGGCCTGAGGAGTTTGAGATGTTTTGAATTATTGGGAGTGTACTGTGTGCCTTAATTGAGATGCTTGGTATTTATTATATAATTAATAATTATTATGATGGTTTTACTCACTAAATGGCATTTCATATAAAATGCTAATGTTTTTCCAAATTCTGGCACTAGGAGGCATTAACAATCAAAATTCCATTTGTTCAGACTAACAGAAATGGAACAAAGGTCGGAATCAGTTGTGTCTAAATATGTCACCTCCTCAATTTTGTAAATATGTTATGTAGGAATTTAAACTTCTTAACGTCCATCATGTATTAAGTAACTCTTAAATTGTGTTTGGTCATGTATATGTTTATATATAACGGTATGTGAAAAGTAAGAAATTTTCTAATATTGATTTCCACTATTTAACACATGGTGTGACTTATACTTCTATTAATGGATCCATAGGATATGTTATGTAGCATCTCAGCATTATTTATCCTTGGATAAATGGTGTTAGGGTGTTACAAATGTCCACAACAAAGGTCCTTCTAAATCCGATTAAAAAAAAAAAAAAAGAACGACGCATCATACACGAAGAACATAATCTATAAAGAGTTCTTTCTACCACATAGGTAATAAAGTATATTCAAAATTTTCATAAAATAATGTTAGAAAGATAACACTGCTCAAAATAATAAAGATAGTGACTTCAAATTTGCAATGAAACTGTGTTTTGAAAGAGCTAAAACATTTATTAATCCAACGGCTCTTCTACAGGGAGAAAGAGATTGATCGAGCAAAGGGAATAATTGTAATTATTATTTTCAACATTTATAAATGTTTAACATTAAATACAATAAAATATAATATAATAAAACTAAAAAATATAACAAAATAAAAAGTACTGAGTCTATCTATATCTTTCCCAACAACTTATCATGTACAAATTAAAATTGAGAATAAGCAAGAAAAACAATATAAAAAGAATTACAAAATTATATAACGAGTAAATATAACAAGTATTCACGAGGATAAAAAATAATGCTCCTCAAAAAACTATGTCTCAATCTGATGTCAAATTAAAACTATTTGTCAATCTAATGTTTGTCCTGACATAGAGAGAGTGTTGCTCTAACTACTAACTCAGTTGGCAGTTTCAGTGCAATAGAAAAAGTACTTCGTAGATAAGCAGTCGGCAAAAAGTAATTGTATGAATAAAAAATAATTTTTATTTTTTTTTCAATACAAAATAAAAAATTTAAAATCGTCAAATGGTCTTTTTACTAAAACACACAATTCATCTAATGGTTTTAGTGCAAATATGAGATGTGACTACTAATCAACAAAAAGCACACGAGAGAACATTATTTTGTTAAGAATCCACTAGGTTAACTAGTGGTTTTAATAAAAAAAATATTTGAGTAATCAAAATATTTTTCACCAAAACACACATATCATCTGGTGGTTTTGACGTAATACATTCGCATTAACACCGCTAGCTAATATATTGATGTCAGTTACATAGGCTTTATTTAGACAAGCTATGACAATAAAAAAGACTTGCATGATAGATTGAAATGGTGCAGGGAATTGATTCCCTTATCGCTACCTATGGATTCCCTTGTTCACTCTACTCAGCTTTTATTATTAAAGAGGAAATTCTTCACAATACCACAATACTCACACTGCCACAACACTCAGTAGCACTTGTATTGTCAGCTACAAAATACAAATGTACAATCACACTCATTCAAGCACAATAGTTGAAACACATTTCACAGAAATAATGAAGAAACCCCATAAAATAGAAGATGTTGATAAAGGTAAATAATTTTTTTGTATTTTATTCTTTTTAGTTTAAGTATATTTTTTAATTTAATTTCTAAACATAAATGTTTATAATAGTTTGAAGTAAATAATGCCTTGTTATTATTTTTTTTTTTTTGCAGATTTTTATTTCTTTTTTTGCATGGAGAAATTGGTGTTTGGGCTTAGTTTTTAATTCTAAGGTATATTTAATATATAAATATAAATAAATTTTAAACTTATAAATTCTTCACAATATACCTGCAATACTCAGACACATGCACAGCACTCAGATAGCACCGCTTGTATTGTAAGCTACAAAACTTAGATGTTAGCAATCACCACTTCATTCAAAGCACAATAGTTGAAACCATTTCACGCCAAGAAGAAAAGATTAATACCCATTTAAGAATAGAAAGGTGGTTGATAAAGTGTACACATAATTTTTTTTGTCATTTTATTCTTTTAGATTTTAAGCCTATAATTTTTAATTTTAATCCTAAAATAAATGTTTATAATAGTTTGAAGTAAATAATGCGGTTGTTATTATTTTTTCTTGCAGATTTTATTTTTTTTTTTGCCATGGAGAAATTGTTGTTGGGCTAGTTTTAATTCTAAGGATATATTTTTATACTTATAAATATTAAATAAAATTTATAACTAGTGTATATAAATTAAATTAATATATAGAATTTTTTAATAATATAAAGTTCATAATATTTATTTTGGTGGAAAAAATGAGTATTGTATTTTTTATATATAGTGAATAAGTTATATATATATTAGACCAATTACTTATTCAAATAATATTATTTATACCTTTACTTCGTAGAATAAGTTTCTCTAGTTAGTATGTGAAGTATTTCCTAGGCACTATGTTTGAGTTAATAATATACATTCTGAAGGGTGACCCATGCTTTGTTGAAGATTTTGATCGATTGATATAAATTGCTAACCAATTGATTTTGATTCGCTCAATATATAAATTGCTAAACACCAAATGACATTTCTCCAATTTTCATATCACATTGAGTTTGAGAAATTGAAATTTGGGGCCACATTGCTGATCCTCATTAATGCAACTTTATCAAATAATATATAAATATAAATAAATTTTAAACTTAGTAATAAATTAAAAATATAGAATTTTTAAAAATAATAAAGTTCATAAATATTTATTTGGTGGAAAAAATGAGTATTTATTTTTTATATATGTGAATATTTATATAATATAGACCATTACTATATTCAAATAATATTTTTAATATTGTATTTCTAGAATAAGTTTTCTAGTAGATGTGAATATTCCTAGTATGTTTTTAGTATATACAACTGAAGGTTACCCATGCTTTGTTGAAGATTTTGATCGTTATATAAATGCTAAACCAATGATTTTGATCGTTATATAAATGCTAAACCAATGACTTTTCCAATTTTCATATCATAAATTGAAATTGGCCACTTTATCCTCATATCAAATTATCAATACATATTGCAAAATTCAGATAAGTACTTGTACAAAATTCACTCATTTATGCAATAGATAATTTTCCAATGTTGTAGAGTAGATTTGTCATCGCTGAGCAAACACAATTGATGAGAAAAGATGTTGACAATTTCTTGGCTAATATCCTTGTGTAGGCATTCATTGTAGAATCACAATCTAGTGTAGTTATTCTTTTTGCACCGTAATTGTTTCATGTAAGGCATTCTTTAGGTAACTGATAAATTTGAGTTACTATTATTTTATCCAATCTGGTCAATCAACATTTAGAGTTTCCTACATCAAAAAAGCAAACTTAAACCACAGCTTACTTCTACCTCCAATTATGATTTTCAATTACTTCGAGTTTCGTAGAATATGTTTTGCATTTAATAGAAAAAAACTCACCTAAACAAAATCAAATGCTATTAAAGCATCACCATTAAGCATAATTCCACTGACATCTCCATTATTCACCTGCAAAGAAGTGTAACATTCGTCATTCCACTTATAAGGATCTTATAAAATTATTTCCATTATATTTACTTAAGAAATTTGAACAGTAAACAAATTAAAATTATACAAAAAAAAAGTTGAAGAATGAACAAAAAAAATAAGTTTAAATATTTTCTACATATGAAGATGCCAAGCTTCGCGAATTAGGTTTTGTCGAAATCAGCAAGAGCAGCAATATTGGTAATGTTAGCTACATCAAGTTAATTAGACACAAAATAAGCATACAGATTTAGTTCATGAAAGGCTTTAAATTTTCTTTCTTTTTTCTTTGGCTATGCTTAACACTATTGTAATCCCTATAGGTTGTGTCTAACTACGTCGTGGTCATTATGACAATTCACAATATAGAATTATTCTTGAGATGTCTTGATATTCCCCGCTAAGGTACATTACGTGATTTTTATAGAAACAAATATATTTACCATTTAGTTGTAGGTAAAAAAGAGATTGACATATTGAATTCACAAAATGACTTCCTTTTGCACATTATGAAGCATTTAAAACCAAGATACTAAAAAGAAGCAAAAATTATTGGACCTGTAGAGGAAACTCTGCTCTTTGCTCTCCACAATTGTAAAATATAACATTATAATTCTCAAAAATCAAGCTCAATCATTGAATTAAACAAATAAATAGTAAAAGTAGAAAGTTTAAGACAAGAACTTGTCCAATCCAAAAGTTTGGTCTATTGCATTATTGAACATAAACTAAAAAAATAATTCTATTCTCATAACCTCACCTCAAACACAAAACCCAACTAAAAAGAGAAAGAAAAAAAAAAAAAAAAGATTTACGAAACGTTCAAATTCAGAACCAAACCCTCAAACATGCAAACACTATATTTCAAGAGTTTGATTTCAACCTCTTCGTCATCCTGAAAAGTATATCTCTTCAGATTTTTTCCATCTAACCTCCTCAATTAAATAAACAATTAATCTCCAAATAATACATATAACCCAAAAGAAAAATTCAAACATAATTTTTTTTTTCAAAAAAAATGACAAAAGAAAAATAATGAATAACTATTATTTGATCCAGTGAGATTTTTGCATCAATCAACTTACAAATATAAATTTTCATTAAAAGAAAGTTAAACAAAAGAACAAAGAAAAGTACCTGTTGAAATAGATTTTCACGATTGAGAGAGAATTCTTGGGGAATAAGTTCATGAGACTATAGTCAGAAGCGTAGAGAAAGGTTTTAGAGCGAGTACAAGAAAAATGCATTTTAGCAGCGAACCATTAGCAACGGACTCTGTCTGTGCTAATTAGCCACGGATTGGAAAGGGATTTGAAGTTAGCACCACTTTTAGAGTTTAGCAACGGAAGTGCAACAGACAAATAATTGGCAAGCAAGTATAATCCGTTGCAAGATTCAAGGGAAATTTTGGCACCAGTATTAGCCAGGTTTTAGCAACGGATTAGCAATAGATATTATAAACCAATTTATTATCCATTGCTCATAGCCGCGGGAAATTTTGGTGCCATTATTAGTCAGGGTTTAGCAACAGATTAGCATTGGTTATTAGCAATAGAATAGTTATCCGTTGCTAATATATGTGCGGAATTTTGGCGCAGATATTAGCAACAGCTTAGCAAAGGATTAGTAACAGATGGTAGAAAGGGATATTGTTCCGTTACTAATTTAAAAGACAGATTTGGCACGAATGTAAGCAACGGATTAATAATGGAACAGCAAATATTTAAATCCGTTGCTAATGTTACTTATCTTTTTTAATGCATTGTTAACATTTTAGCACTTGTATTTAACATTTTCACAGTTTATTCATGCAAAATTTTAATTTTTTTAGTTTAATGTATGTGTTGTATTTGTACGACATTTCACATCATTATTCTTTAATTGAAATACTAATTGAAGTTGATAAATTTTGTGTGCCAAATTAAATTTTAGGTAAGACAACATGATCTCTAAATTGAGATTTGATGAATAAACCCGTTAAGGAAATTATATATGTCAGATTTAGAATTGATAGTGCCATAATTTTTTTTTTTATCAAATTGATGGATGGATTTATGTAGTTGACATTAATTTATTTACCTGTCTCAAGGATATGGAAGCGGCGGAGATTTTATGGATAATTGACCTACAAAAACTCATTATAAGTATGTTTGGGTATTAAATAAGTTTGTGACAGGAATGAGTATTAAGTTAATTCTTCACTATGGGTTTAAAAGTTCCGGATACCCACCACCCATGAAAATCTTATTAATTATATAATTTAAAATTTTTTATATAATATTTTAGATAAAAATTTAATTGCATACTGAGTTCAAAATAATAATAAAATTTGGATGCTATTAAAATATGACTTAAAATATTTTTATATTTTTTTAATTTATTAATAAATTTTGATATTTATGAATTTAAATTTTATTTTAATTTTTTTATATTTTTCACTAGCGTTATCTTATATACAATTGACTCGCATAAAGAGAGTGAATTTTATATGTACTTATAATTATCAATTCCAATCCATTTATATCGAATTTGGATATTATTAAAGGGGTGTGGAATGAGTGCCGGTATTAACATTTTAAGTGGACTTGAGTATGAGTATTTAAAAAGGAATTTTAAAAAGGTTTGAAATGTGTGTAATTATCAAAATTTTAGACCGGTTTAGGTACATATAGTGAATATTTTCTGGATGCCCATCCCATTTTTTTCCCTAATCTCATACTATATCATGATGGTTGTTTCCATAATTTGGTTTCTTGAAATGATTTTACTAGTGAATATTAACGATATTGTTATTTTTTTTATTATTTAAAATTTAAAATAATATTAATGATATTATACATTAATTTCATTAATTATATTTTACTTGAGAAGATAAATTTCATTAATTATTAAAAGAACTCAAAAATTTTATTATTTTAAAGAGTATTTATGATATTATTTATAAAATATAAAAAAATATCATTAATAATTATAAAAAAAAAAATACTCTGTATCATTAATATTATTTATAAAATATAAGAATATCTTTGGGATTAGTTTTGAATTTGCAGCCATTTTCATTAATCCAAAGTAACTGTTGCAATTTTTTTTAAAAGTAATGCCCATATACTCAGTATCAAGTTTGTTTCCAATACAGTGAGACACCATTAGATCCATTTGAAGAAGTTGTCCCTTATCTTACACTGTGTTAAGAACACAGAATGGTAATTAACTGGATCAAACAGTCATCTAGTTTTAAACTTCCAACTGGAACATCCCAACTTAAACAATGCTACCTTGCTTCTGATTTAGTTTAAGAATTTTGGAGAAGGTCTTTTCTTTCGTCTACTGCACCATTAATCTTCTTTTATATGTTGATATGAAATTTTATAGTTTACCTTGATCACTTTACTACCAGATAGTTATACATAGGAGTGCATTACAGAATTTTTATTGGTGATTTCATTTATCAAGCAATGAATTAAATTGATGCTAATTTATGGGATGATAAATTGCAAGTCTTATCAAAATGGTGTTGAGAAACTAGATTATTTCTTTTTATCTGTTCAAATGATCAAATAGCTATATTGAAAACTTCTCATTTTATTATCATTAACGGCTGAGGTAATAATTTAAACTTTTGATTTTTTTTTTTTTTATTTTGGTATACTATCACAAAAAAATTTTGACTTTGATTACCAATAATTTATATATGTAGTTAGTTTTATATTTAGTGAGATCTTGGATCAAATGGTTATTTATTTTCAACTTTGTAACTATTCTATTTTGTCAAAAAATCTAATATAAAAAATTATTAAAATTTTTCATCAAATGCTAGATATGTATGATAGTGGTTTACACACATTTTTATACATGTAATAATTATAATTGAAAATATTGAATTTTTATATTGTCTTTGTATTAGTTTAACTATAATTTATGGGATCTTTGGATAAATGTTATTATTTTTTCTAATTCTTTTTGTTTAACGCTCTCCTTTTTGTCATAAAATGTAATATAAAGATAATTATTAAAAATTTTTCATCAAATTGCTAGTTCATCAAATGCTAGATATGTATGATAGTGGTTTACACACATTTTTATACATGTAATAATTATAATTGAAAATATTGAATTTTTATATTGTCTTTGTAAAAATTAATAAAATATATAAAAAAATAAACTATAAATAATTATTCTAACAGTTATGTTCAAAAAAGTAACAAAGTGCATCGCACGTTCTTGAATACTAGTAATCAATAAAATAAACTAATTAACAAACCTAAATAAAACTAAATTACCAAAACTAAACAAACATTAATCACAAACCCTAAAAAAAAAAATTAAAATACTGAAATGAATAATCTAACGCAAATTGCAAAACATACATGGTATATATATATATATATAAAAAAAAAAAACACCAAACAAACTTAAAACCTGACTGAAATTTAAAAAAAAAAAATGAGGGAAGGGATGATAGGGACCGTACATGTGCGAAAGGGGCCTTCGGCATCGATTTCTGGTGTCTTTCAGTGTCCAGCAGCAGCGGTCGTCCTTGTCGTGATGGAGCGGTGACCACAACTGAAGGGAGAAGAAAAAAATGAGGGAGAAGAGGAGATGTCATGCTAGGAAGAAGAAGACAACGGTTTTCAACCCATGATTTTTTTGCAACCGACAATATTTTAAGTAGTTGGTCGCTACTAATTTGACATGGCATATGTTTCATTTTCTTGCGTTTTGCGACCGCCAGAAATCGGTCGCACATGGAGAAAATTATGAGCAATCCAAATTCACCGCAGATCACTCGCACAAACCATGGCGAGAATTTTGTCGCCTTAATTTAGCAACCGATCATTTTGTAGTCTTTGATAGGTCGCAAGTTCGGTCGTGACGGTCACAAGATCATCGCAAAAATTTTTCCACCAAAAAAATTTCGCGGAAAAAAAGAATCTGTCACACGTCCTCGTAAATTGGTTGATAAATAGTGACCGATTTAAAGCGATCGCAGATAGCGATTGTTGTTTGGCGTTTTTTTGTAGTGATATTTAGCTTGGCTTTATAGAGAAATGTGTCATGCGACAAATCCTTCTACTGTGCGAATTAGAGAATGTATAATACTTATTCAAATTTGGACATGGGAACACCTCACAAATAATTGTACCACTATTTTGACAGTCTAAACCATATGAATCTGGCACATCTTATGGTTTCAGGTAATTTTTCAACTCATTATGTAGCTAATATTTGCATCTTAGTCAAAATATATTTAGCAACCGATCATTTTGTAGTCTTTGATAGGTCGCAAGTTCGGTCGTGACGGTCACAAGATCATCGCAAAAATTTTTCCACCAAAAAAATTTCGCGGAAAAAAAGAATCTGTCACACGTCCTCGTAAATTGGTTGATAAATAGTGACCGATTTAAAGCGATCGCAGATAGCGATTGTTGTTTGGCGTTTTTTTGTAGTGATATTTAGCTTGGCTTTATAGAGAAATGTGTCATGCGACAAATCCTTCTACTGTGCGAATTAGAGAATGTATAATACTTATTCAAATTTGGACATGGGAACACCTCACAAATAATTGTACCACTATTTTGACAGTCTAAACCATATGAATCTGGCACATCTTATGGTTTCAGGTAATTTTTCAACTCATTATGTAGCTAATATTTGCATCTTAGTCAAAATATATTATTATTCGATATAGCATCAAAAAATGAGTTTATTAATATTCTAAATTATTTTGTCAAAGGAATTTTGTCATGTGGAAAACATCATTAAATGCATTGAATACAACTATGCATTCACTAAAGTGGTTGTGATTCCAATTAGATAAACAACCACGTGAAATGTACTATATTTATCTATTACATGCTATTTAATTAGAGGGTGAATACTCAAAATTATGTTAACTAATTTAATGTAAAGTTTTTTTTCTTGTTTATAGATGTCTTGGCAGCCATATAAAGAGGTTGAAGGACTGCTTTCTTGATTTTATTTATCTGAGAGACGCACTTCGAACTCATTAGTACCGTTAATTGACTTCCACATTGTAGAATGGCATCAACCTGATCGTTGCCTTTGACAGTTTAGGATGGACCAACATATACCCGTTGCACCATACTAGGATGATAAGTTGCATTCAATTGATTTACGAGGTTATATTGATAATGGTTGGGAGCATAAAGATCAACCATTCATTCAAGCATGGAACAACTGTCTCTCTCATACGGTTTCATCTCATTCACTCCAAGCACCTTTGGGCCCTCACCCAGAATATATGCAATGGCTTGTGCAACGAACTAGACGTTAGATTTTATTTTGACGTGCAGAAGTTGAAGCTGTGGTAATTAGTCGATATCTTTTTATCTTATCTTATAATTTCTTAATCTAATTCAATAATAAAATTTGCTCTTATTTTCATAATATTTTTTTTAATGCAAGCTAATGGGTTCCAACATATATATCACAGTTCAACATCATCAACACGTAGAAATGCATCATTCCGTTGAAGATTATTTAGCCTATTTGGCATAATGAATGAAGAAATTCATACAGAAACTCATCCTATGCTTCAACCTGCCCCTCTATCTTTAGAGTTTCCTCGTGTTCAAAGACCAAAAGAACTACAGAGGCAAATGAGACATGAAATGACATCTAGACGTATTCCAGTTGAAGCCCCGCCAGTAGATATTATACCTCAAGTCCCTCCCCCTATGATATATAATTAGTACGAAGGTTATTGCGTTAATATGCTTAGCACATTATCTTTTGCACCACAACCTGAGTGGAGTGTACCATCTGTAGTTAGAAATCCCATCGAACACTCATTACAATTCGATGATGGCAACATAATACAAACCACTAGTTAACCTCGTGGACTCTTAACAAAATACTATTCTCTCGTGTACTTTTTGCTAACTACTAGTCAAATCTCATATTTGCACTAAAACCACCAGATGAATTGTGTGTTTTAGTGAAAATATCATTTGACAAGTTTATTTTGTATTGAAACCACCAATTGAATTGGTGGTCTTAATATAAAATAAAAATTATTATTTATTTATGTAATTACTCTTTGTTAATTGCTTGTTAGTACGTGTTACTTTTTTTATTATACTGAAATCGTCAACTGAGTTGATGGTTTTAGTGTGACACTCACTCTCCATGTAAGGACAAACATTGAATTGATAAATAATTTTAATTTGACATTAAATTGAAAAATAATTTTTTAAGGAGCATTATTTCTATCAAAAGCCTTGTTCCTGCACCTTGAAAAACTAGTGTATATATATAGGGGTGGCCATATTACGGTTCCGGGAACCGGAACCGGTGGTTCGAACCGGTCCCGAACCGTAATCGGAATCGATGGGAACCGAAAGCGGAATCGGAACTGGAGATTTTCGGTTCGGTTTTAGTTCCAGCTTTGTTGGAACCGCAAACCGGCGGTTCCACAAACCGGTCAGAATCGGATGGAACCGCCGATTCTCCGGCCGGTTAGAACCGCCGGTTAGCCGTTAGAAACTGTCAGTTTTTTTTTTTAATTTTGTTGTAAACAAAAAATAAATTCAATTGAAGACTTTTTTTTTAAAATAAATAAGTTCAAGTCTTTAAAAAAATAAATTTAATTGAAGCATTTTTTAATTTTTTAGGTGTGTAGATTATATATACAGAGATATCGGTTTAGTTATCCAGCTTTCTGTTGAACTCGTGGCCAACGGGGTGTTCCACAAACCTTCGAGTCAGAATCGAGATGAACCGCCGATTTCTCCGGCCGGTTAGAACCGAGGTCCGCCGTTAGCGTTAGAAACTGTCAGTTTTTTTGTTAATTTTTGTTGTAAACAAAAATAAATTCAACATGAAGAACTTTTTTTAAAAAATAAAATAAGTTTCAGTTCTTTTATAAAAAATAAATTAATTGAAATTTTTTAATTTTTAGGGTGTATTTTTATTAGAAATAACTTTCAATTGAAGCATTTTTTAATTTTTTAGGTGTATTTTTTTTAGAAATAACTTTCACAAATTTTTTAAATTTTGAAAACCAGTCTTCAAAATTTAAAATTTTAAATTATACGATTTGCAGGAAAACCGGTCAGAAAACCGATCGGAACCATCGGTTTTGAAACCGTCGACGAACCGAAACTGAAATCGAAACCGAAACCGAAAATTTTCGGTTCGGTTCTATTTCCAAATTTTTTTGAACCGGAACTGCTAGTTCCGGAACCGTGGCCAGCCTTATATATATATAAGAAAATAAACTTCTACCCACCCTTTGCAATGAGATATTAACAAAATATCTTCCGACTTCTATTACGTGGATTAGTGCGATTACACTGTTAGAAACCTTTCGAAACACACAGTACTGTGACCGTAACACTTTCTAGGTTTGCAAGACCCTTTTCTTCTCTCCTATTGCTTCGTTGAAGCGATATACACAACTTAATGACCGTACTATTATTGCAAAAAAATAGAAAGCATTTCAAAGCCCTTTCCATTTTGATATTAAACTCTCTCCTTTTAGTCAATTAGTTAAAATTGGGACCTTGTAAAATACGAGCATTAGGATAACTAATTACTTGCTTCAAATAAATTAGCTCCATTGAAATGAAAACATGATTAACTAAGAATATAGTCAATTATTGAAAACTAGTCTCTTAAACTAGTTTAAAAAGCATACCAATTTAGAATTTTTGTATATTATCACTTCAAAATTTTTCATGGTCAAAATTTTAAATATGAAGTCTATGTGAGGCACCATCGTTTAAATTCAGATTGACAAAATTTAATTTGTTTTCCTTTTGTAAATTTTTTTCTATAAAGCTATTTAATATCTTCCATATCGCCTTATGATTTATTACTTCCTTTAAGTCTTTGAGGTTGAATTTGAATTGTTATATAACATTAGAGTTCATTTCTTTTTTTATTTATTATTTTTTCATGGTATTCTGTGAGGTAAACTCGTCTATATCAGTATCTTGTGATCTTCTTATAATTTGTCTACATTTTTGAAATTTTAATCTAGTTTTCAACGAATGAAATCCGTTCAATTATATAAATGAAAACTTGAACACTGTATATTTCTATTTTCAATAAGGTTTTGAACAAATGAAGTAAATTCGAATTTTATTAAAATAGAAATCCTTTCCTAATTGTAATAGAGTCTATCTACTATATGAAATAATCTCACTAATTATTGGATTTAAATTTAAATTTTATCTCAATATAAATATATCAACAATAATTATTCTTCTTTCAAAAAAAAAAAGGCAATAATTATTAAATGTGTCAAAATGGATTATTACACTGAAACACGATTTAAAATATTAAATTTGAAGCGGCCCTTAATGTTGTGGGGTCCCTCCAACATGTGGAACACACACATTTGAAAAAAGAAAAAAAAAACAAACAAACACGTTTTTATTGTTGGTCAAAGAAAAAAAACGAAGAAGAAGAGATTCAAACATGTGGGACCCACACACGTTTGAATGAAGAAAAATGAAGGAAAAATGGACGCGTGATTAACGCATCCATTCGGTGGACGCGTTAATGACACGTCCCCTTCTCCTATAAATAGGAGAAGGTTTTTCACTAAAGTGGGAGGTCCCTCCAACATGTGGAACACACACATTAGATAAAAGAAAAAAAAACAACACAACACGTTTTTATTTGATGGTCAAAGAGAGAAATTATAGAACGAGAGAGAAGAAGAGACTCTCAAACATCGTGGGACCCACACACGTTTGAATGAAGAAACCATAACGAAGGAAATAAAAACGATTAGGTCACGCTAAAAGTGCATCTACACCGGCACCTCCTCTTCTTGTGGACGCGTTATTAGATGTACACGTTCCCCTCTCATCTAAATATAGGAGAAGGTTTTTCACTTAAACTAATGCACAAAACAAAAGAAGATTTCTATAATTTAGGAATAAAGTGTCCCTAAAATGAAAATAAAGAACGAAAATAGTGAGGATTATAATTTTTGGGGTGTTTTTTTAGAAAAACACTATAAGATTACATATTATTTCCACCAAACAATTTAAAGTACCACTATTCTTTTGTAATCTCTCTTTATTAGTTTAAGGTGATTATATAACTACACTACTATTTTTAGTGTTAGAAGAATTATTCAGGAGTTTTTGATCCCGTGGGACGTTAGCCGTTCATAACTAGTTTGAAGGGGTGTAACGACGTAAATTTCTTGGGTGTCCTTTTTTTTTCATCTGGCATTTACGGTAGATTAGTTTAATTTTTACCTGTATATATATTTTTCTGAGTAGGATAAATCGCATTTTTTACTAATTATGAGATTGGCTCTCACTATATTTGTCCATATATGCGCAATCGAAAGTGTATTGGAGCAGGTATATTGGTAATTAGTAATTTTATTCTCTTTCTTTTAGAGCGTAGGTTCATTTCCTCGTGGCCCACCAATTTGGCGCCGATCAGATGTATAATTCCCAACATATTTCAGGAGTATCAGAGTCTATGTCGGTAAGTTTTCTGTTCATGTTTCTTACAATAGTTACATATCTTTTGTGTAATAGTAGATTTACAGAATTAAGTGAATTAGTAAAATTTTGTCAGTTTCTGAATTACGAATTATGGCTAACGACCGGGCTCTCTAATGATCAAATATTGTAACGGATTCAAATTATTCAAGTGTGGGAAGAATCCAGAGAGTGGAGGACTACACTCAATTGCCAAAAGTTGTAACAATCCAATCTGAAGTGGACAGTGCAAAGCCAGAAGAAATAGCAAAGGAAATAATGAGATAGTGCAAAGCCAGAAGAAATGAAAGAAAGGCAGTGGGAGAAATTAAAAAAGCAGACATTGGGTACAATACGCCAATGGATAGATGCTAGCCTGTATAACCATGTGAGAAATGAAAAAGATCCTCAAGTTCTCTGGAAGAAATTAGAGAATATATACGAGGCTACGAATGCTCAAGGAAAAGTCTCCATGATGCGTAAAGTCATGAACTTGAAGCTATCAGAGGGACGATCAATTACACAACATCTGAACGATTTTGAAGGACTTGTAATTGAGTTAGCAGTTAGCGGTATGTCCTTAGAAGACGAGATGCAAGCATGCCTACTGTTGGGATCTCTACCGGATAGTTGGGATACTCTTGTGGTGATGACTTCTTATGGTATTCATGAAGTAACTCAGCTCCTAATGGTGTCTATGTGGTATACAATGTCTATAAGTAGAAAGAAATGGACTAATTCAATGAGAAGCTTTACGAAAGAAGAGAGACATTAGCCAATAGTACCAGTTCAACAGCCCTTGATCACAGAGGAATAGGTGTCGGAAGCAAAGAGTAGAGGTCCAAGGCATGAAAGTCAGGTGGTAATCCAAGTCAGAGAAATGAGATATAATGTGTTACTTCCTTGCCCTCTCAAGGAGGGGGATACATCTTCAAAAGAACTAGTGTCAATATTAACTCATTTACAGTAAGATAATGCAAAACGAAGACAGACATGAGAATGTACATAAAAGTGATCTGTGCGTACAGTTTCAGGGCAAAGATTTAGTGAAGAGTGACTTTAGTTCACTCAATGATTCAGTTGCGATTGTCATGCTGAGATGTAGATACCGATGTGGATAGTAGACATTCTCGGTTGTCTTACATAACCACTATCGTTCCCAAAAATAAGTGTATACTTTTTCCAACTTATAAAGCAGGGAGATTTATGCTAAAACTTATAGAATGGGAAATAATAGTGTTTCTCGCATTAAGTGGTGGGATAATCTCGGGTGATATACTACTAAAGTGACAAGTGTTCGGCGTGCACATTAACACTTAAAAATGTGAGAAGATATTCCCAATTCTTCAGTTGACATCTCTAATTGTGTCGTGGGTGGGGTGTACTAGGACTAAGGGTGAGGCTGAATCAACATCAATTT